GAGCCGGGTTCCTGACAGCAGCCTGGTGATAGTGAAGAGAGAGAGAGAGAGAGAGAGAGAGAGAGAGAGAGAGAGAGAGAGAGAGAGAGAGAGAGAGAGAGAGAGAGAATGGGAAGGGGTGATGAATGGGAGCAGAGAGGGTTGAAGAGGATGGAGGAGAGCAGAGAGGAGGGAGGAAGTAGAGAGGAGGAGGAGGAGAGAAGGGATATGGAGGGAGCGCTGGGGAGGCGAAAGTGTAGAGGAAAGGTAGGGTGGAGGCTGTGCAGAATTGAGCCAAGGAAAAGCTGAGAGAAAAGGGAGGAGAGGAGGGACAGGGGCGGGAAGGAGTGGAGATAGGAGGGACTAGGGCGGGAAGGAGCGGAGATAGGAGGGACTAGGGCTGGAAGGAGCGGAGATAGGAGGGACTAGGGCTGGAAGGAGCGGAGATAGGAGGGACTAGGGCGGGAAGGAGTGGAGATAGGAGAGACGAAGAGCGCATAAGAGCGCAGAAGCCAAGTAGAGAAGAGAGTGAGGTGAAAGGAAAGAGGACCGGAGAGAGAAAAGGAGAGAGGAGAGTCGTGAAGCAGCAGCAGAATCAGAGCAGACAATGCGATGAAGAGGGAGGAGAGAGAGAGAGGAAGGATCAGAGGGAGGAGAGGCAGGACCAGAGCGAAGAGGGAAAAGGAGAAGTGGAGGACGAATGGAAGGAGGGACGGGCTTAGAAAACAAGAGAGAACAGGAGAGAAGGGAGCAGCGAATGGAGGGAAACAATGAGAAAAAGGAGTAGATGATGATAAAAGAGAGCGAGAGAAAGGAAAGCTTGGGGAAAGAGGGGGGTCTCTTCTCCTTCACGTCCATACCTCGTCCTTAGGTTTGGACCCCCATTTCATATTTTTCTATTTTTTTTTTTTTTTTTTTTTAATATGGCTTATTTCTGGATTTATGCGTGTCATCCTTGCACAGGGGCCGTGCTAATCTTCTCTATGTCGGTCCTATTCTAATGGATGTCCCGGAGGACATGTGCGTGGGTGTTGGCATGTTTTCTGTAGACAACTCCAAAAAACGCATGAATGTGCCAGACTGTTTCGTCGGACTTTCACCGACTCATCAGGGAGGGTTGTGTGTGTGTGTGTGTGTGTGTGTGAGAGAGAGAGAGAGAGAGAGAGAGAGAGAGAGAGAGAGAGAGAGAGAGAGAGAGAGAGAGANGAGAGAGAGAGAGAGAGAGAGAGAGAGAGAGAGAGAGAGAGAGAGAGAGAGAGAGAGAGAGAGAGAGAGAGAGATTGCTGATGCCTATACAGTCTAATTGCTTTTCCCCGTGCGTCTGTGTTGTAACAGTCGTTGATTTGTTATAAACCCCCTTTTTCCTTTGCTTTTTAAACCCTTATCTTGAGGGGTCAAGGACAAAACCAAGCCCAATAGCGTTTTTTTTTGTCCAATCGAGTTTCTAATATCCTGAGGCAATCCGCGTCCCAGTGTACGAGGTGTCAGGGGCCTCGCGCAGTTGGTAAGGCACACAAGTGGCATTCAGGAGGTCATGGGTTCAATCTCCATTTGCCTCGGGCACCTCCCTGGGCAGACTCGGCGTCCGCCATCGAGAGGTAGCCGGTTTGGGGCCCCCGGTCGGCATTCAGGACAGACTGCTGATATTCGTAGGGGGAGGGGACTGGAAGGGAGGTGCAGAGATTGGTCCAGATGGCATGGTCTCTGACTCTACTGGCTGACCTCTCTGGCTGGTATCGCCCACCTGCTGTAGCAGGTAGCAGGTGTCCCACCTGCTTGTGGGTGCAGCCCCTGCATGTTCCTTTTTGGAGGCATGGGTTTGTGCTCCACCGTACCTGGCTCCCCACTTTTCGCTCTTTTCAGTCTCCACCGCATTTGCCTCACGTTTTGCTTTTCAGTGCGAGAGAAGCCACATCAGATTGGTGGAAAGCGCCCATGGGGAAATCTTTTTTTTTTTTAATCTAACAACCATACATTTTAGTATAAGCACCGAGGCCGGGGACCTCACAATTCAACCCGGATGTACTGACAGCATCAGCCAGCTTAGCTTACAGGCTAGGCCTGCAGAAAGTCCTGCTAAAGACCTTCAGGAGTTCCCTACTACTGAACTGCAGAATTGAACTGATTGATAAGTCTATGCTGAATGAACTCACCTGACCACTGGAAGGACCCCATATGAGAGAGATAACGAACTTTTGAAAATCCTTGTTGAAACAATGTCTAGTCTACTCTAGGCTACAACTAACTAGCTCTAAGCTGTGACCAAAGGGACTAACTCGGCCCAGTGGACACCTACCTACCTACTCTCTAGACACTCTCCTCGCGGTCTACTGTGACCCTAGATAACCGAGTGCCCTGGTTGGGCTAATCTCCATAGAACTATCCTAAAAACGTAAACCTCCTCAGATTGGAACCTCAAGGAGGATCAAACAGCCACTTGGACAGAATCAGGCCCCTTGTTCTATGTACCCATGCCAGTCTGTTCTCCACTGCCCAGGTTCTAAAAAACCACCACAGTCTGGGCCTGGACGCAGTGCCTTTCTTGGCCCGCCGTTTCCAGTTGATAACGACTGCCTGTCGAATGCCTTGCTTGATGGTTGCTTTGATTTCGTTATCAGAATAGGGTCTCTTCTCAAAGCGGGAGCGGTTTCTGTCAGCCCAGATGGTCGAGCACATAACTGCCCTTATCACTTGTGCTACGTAGGCCCATCCTCTCTTCCCTGTGCTTCCTTCTGGGGGGGGAAACCCAGTAAGACCCACCTTTCCTCCCAGTCAATATCCTTGCTGCCCATTTGTTGCCAATGCTGGGCCCACCATCTCCAAACTCTTCTCGACGCTGGACAGTCCCACCACAGATGGCGGGTGGATTCCAGGGACTCTGTGCACCTGGTACATCCCAAGGGTACCTCTACCCCCCTTCCACAGAGCCATACTGCCGAGGGAGTGACTAGCATGGAGATCATCCATAACAGGCTGGCCTGTTTAACGTTCAGCAGAGCCAGGAGGATGCTTCATAGCTTCCTGAATTCACTCTCTGCTCCCTGCAGGTCTTCCACCAGCACCGCGCTCCAGCGGGATATCGCCACCGAAGCTGGTGTTCTGGACCTCATGTCCGATAGGCGATAAGAGTCTCGCGTGGAGAAGTTGGTTAGGCACATCACTTGAGAAGTCGAAGGTGTACCAATGTTTCCTTTCCAGCCCCAAGCTAGAGGGTCTATGGCCAGCTTCCTTAGTGGAACCCTCCCCACCCAATGAGTCTGTGTCACTCTCCCATATCCATCTTTCTGTTCTACCACCCGAATCTGCATTGGGTTAACCCATTCGTTCACAGTCGTTTCTTCTACGTACCCTAGCACCCCATTGTCGTTTGTTACCTTCCAGCTCTGAACCTCTCTGAAGCCGGATGCGGTTAGACTCACCAGCTTCCAAGCAGACTGTTGACTGTCTGAACTGTTGCCTGCATACCAGGTGCCAGGGGGGTCCAGACCCTCAGGGCCGAGGAGGGCAGCCCAGACCGGGGTGATAGCCTGAATGATCTTCCGCCAGTTTGTCTCCACAGACCGAAGGTTTCGCAGAATATATTGGACCTCTTCTAGTGGCTTCCAAGAGCCCAGCAGGTCCGACCATAAATCCGCGATAAATGCAACCCCCCTGCGGATCCATGCCCTCCCGAATGCGCCTGCCTCCGGGCCTGCAGAAAACTCTCCGCCTTCCTCGGCCAAGATCATCAGATTTTCAAACAAGCACTGCCTCAGAACTTCCTCCTTGGTGCATGGCGGGATCCGGAGGTCTGGGGGATGGGCGATCCAGGCTTTCCTCACGGCTTCCCAGAACTCGGACTTCAACTTCTCCTTCATGAATGATTTCACGAAGAAGCACCCCCATATGTCCTCTGATCGTGACAGTTGCCACTCCCTCATCAGCAGGCTTTCTGCCAAGAGGGTCCAGTCGTCCTTGTGCGAAGCCATAGCCAGTCTTGCTATCCAAGCTTTGAGTTGGGCCTGATTCTTCCTTTTCGGGCCGATCAGGCACAGGCCGATCATTGGGGTAAGTTACAAGTTCCCACGCCACCTTGAGGCTTCCACAGGAACCTGGCTACCAGCCTCTTAATTATTGACAACACGGTATCCGCCACCTCCCTGACCGAGCCACAAACCACAACAGGGCGAACA